GCAAAAAAAAAATAACACGACATCATAACAACAATGGTAACAATAAATTTGTATAGCGCATATAAACTCTCGAATCTTTCTCTGCGCTCAATGTTTATGCAATGATTTTGAAATTGTATTTCGTGCTAAAACTCCCACCTTATTAAAAGAAAATGTCACTACATTAAAAATGTTCAAGTATAGTTTTTGTCAAATGTTTAGGTATATAATTTCAGATTATATTGAGAACAACCCACTATGGCCCTGCGATTACAGTTTCGTAACATTCTAAGTTAAACGGATTGTCAAACATTAACCACAAACTTAAATGTTTATAATCTATATTCTAACATTTCGCCAAAAGTAGTGATCACTATAGTCCTTCCAGTGAATATCATGTTAATGATATCGACGGTGATGGCGTGTTCTTTAAGTCCTCGTGATTGCTTGGTCGGTAAGCTGTTAGCATTCCGCACCTGTATGCCTCGTTATAATCTTGTTTGTTTGTTTTATCAAAAGGATGACATCATCACAGAAGCATTGTGGTTCCGAGTCTGGATCACAATTCACGGTTCACCGTAGAGGACCGAAAGTCTGCTCACTGGGGCGTCCCTAAGTTAGAAATATTAGAGCAAAATCGCAAACAAACTTGACCCCTTCTTCTGGTCTACGGTAAAAATGTGAACCTTTGTCGTTTAAATTGAAACGTGTTTAACAGTGTCGGTTCATTTGACAGTTGGAGGACTCTACTTTAAATGGTGGGATAACTTTTCTTAATTCTTTCTTGAATGCGGTTCAGCACAGCACATGCTCACAAAAGAATTTGTTCATACAATACCTCCACATTATTTTTGTTTTCCTGGTGATGCTACAGCACGTCTGACATAGCAACTCCTATGTTTGTATTGTATGGTCTATTGTAAACAGGTGGTCAGCTCTGGCGAAGCTACATACCGATGTCATGTTAGCTCACTAATGATTGATAGATGATGTCATAAGATGAATGAGATCTGGAGCATTTTTTTAGGGTGGACCTTAGCATGTCTGATAAAATTATTTTTAAAACTATTTACAAATCTATGAACAATATTTAGATGTTTAATAACAAAAAATGAGTTGTATGCAGCCCTGCACATCAACAGGAAGCAACTTATATTTGGATGTCACCCGACCTTCGATTAATTTTTAATCCATCAGCGCCATCTGGTGGTGAAAGTAGGGTAGTGCAATAGTCCTCATCCATCGACGTGACGTGAACAAAATTGTACACTTATTATCGATCATTTAACTTTCTTCAAAGCAAGTTATAGGATTCCCCGGCCAAATTCGCGTGTTTGTCATTCGAATTCATTTACTTTGCATTTAAGTTAGCGCAGATCGGCTTTGCCATGCCAATTATCATTCAATTTTCCAGGTTTTGTATTTAATTTAGGATTTTGGTCGAAGGGTTTAATAGATCTGTCATTCAATTAAGAAACTGCTCAACTAGCATTCAAATTAATATTCACTTGTCGAAGCGTAATTTTTATCATTCAAATTAACACCTGTCATTCGTATTCGTAATATTTTCATTCAAGTTAGGAATGTTAGGTGGAAGAATTGCAACAAACTTTTACAGTTTTTAAATAATGCAGTTAAAATGCCTGATTTGCCATTGGGGTCTAAGCTGTTATTCCATTTATTTATTTTCAGGACAATGCAGATGGGTGTAGTCAGACATAAGGTAAAGAAGGGGCGAATTCAAGGGATGTGGCATTTCTGCACGGACATGTGCATATACCCGGGAAAGGTGGGGTACCCCCAATCGCCCCTTTTTACTACAGACTCGGAATTTAACAAAAGTAAACCACATCGTCTCTTATACCCAGCACACCCCTCTTTTTTTCTTAAAGAGTTTCATAGTTTACTTGCCCGCCAGCAGATCGATGGCTAAAGACTTGGCTAAATAATGAATCATGTTAAAATTGTTAACTCTAGTCCCTACCCCAATCACAATATTGTACCCTTCTTCCATAATGAAATTATGGTGAAATTATGATTAATTTATGATGAAACATATTAAGACAAACAACTTCCTGACACTAACATTTACAAATATATTGAGACCATCAGGTCCGTAGATGCTAGTCGTTTTTTTCTTCTTAACAATCAAACTTAAATGCTGATGAATATCAGATAAATCTAAAAAGTATAAGTGTATAAATGCAAGAAAATGAAATATGATGAAATACACATGAAAAAACAATCTTGAAAGAAAATGAATGAGCTATAAAAAGTGTGTAATAAACGAGAAATGTATATTTACCATCAATTTAAGTGCACAAAGTGCTAATTTGAATGCTACAAATGAATTAGAATGCTAGAAGTACACCGTCGCGTTGTCAGAAAATCGTGTTGCGCCAAATCGAATGACCAAATAGCGAAAGAAGCACATTGTTCATTAATTTGAATGAAACATACGTAGATTCTAACGAAAATTCCATAGATTTGAAAACTAGAAAAAGGAATATAAACCCGAAATATACCCGACTGCACTAAAACCGTCGAGTTTGAACGCAAGACAAATTAATTTGAATGACAAACTCGCGAATTTGGCCGAGAAATCCTATATTAACGTCCGACTAAGGCATAACATTTGTTCGCAGGTCCGAATTTCATAAATCGTGTACGTAAATGTATTATGCCAATCTGTACATTTAAAGCACATAATGATAATGTGGACGAAGGCGTAACTGAGATCTTTATTTATTCATTGTTTAACTTTCACGATGTTGAAGATAATGCATTACCGGTCAGTACTATGGTAATGTATATTATTACTACTTGTATAAGTATTGGATACCACGTGACATTGTCATGTGTAATGTTATGATTGATTATAGTTTCATTATACACTGCCATTCGTTTCCGTGAGTGTGCTAACCATATACAAAAATATAAATAATATAAGAATAGAATAATGGGTGAGGGTCAAGGTTAAGGGTAGAGTAGAGCCGAGCCTTGTTTTTCAGGCATAAACCCTTGTCAGTCGTTGTGAGTAACAGTGTCTGCATTATGAGACTACATTAGGCTCTGTACTCGAGCCGCTATTCGACACATCCAGCAGCTACCATATATAGGTTCTGCTCTAGGCTGTAGGAATTGTGGAAGATTGCCAAATTTATTTGCTTGCAAAATAAGCAGCGCCTTCCTATGAAAATAGCAGTTGTTTAATGGTAATACTTATACACCGCTGGGTAAAATGTTGACTTCTGATATAACATGCTCAGTGGTCATAAATGGTCTTAGTTGCAGCGGTAAAACTAATAGTAGTATTAGTATTAGTACTAGTAGTAGTAGTAGTAGTAGTAGTAGTAGTAGTAGTAGTAGTAGTAGTTGTAGTAGTAGTAATAATAATATTCGTATACCAAGACAAAGTGCCTGGTGGTATCCAAGAAGAGCAGTCCAAAATGTAACTTGAAACTGAAAGAACAGATTATTAAACAAGTCTCCTCATTTAACTCCCTCGGCAGCATGATCACCGAGGATGCCAGATGTGAGACAGAGATCAAGAGAAGGATAGCTCTCGCTAAATCTGCATTTTCAAAGTTAGGCAAAATTCTGACAAATTGAACAATGAGTATGAGGAACAGAATAAGAGTATTGAATTGTTACATCTACCCAGTACTTATGTATGGTAGTGAAACATGGACATTAGCCTCTGATACTAAAAAGCGTTTAGAAAGTTGCGAAATGTGGTTTTTAAGAAGAATGATGAAAATCCCCTGGACTGACAAAGTTAGTAATGAGGAAGTTCTTACACGAGCTGGAGTGCAAAGGAAATTGATGTTGATTAGGCAGTTGAAGTTCATGGGTCACATTACACGTAAAGAAGGCTTAGAGAATATTGCTTTGACAGGGAAAATTGTTGGTAGAAGGAGTAGGGGAAGAAGGAGGATACTTTGAATAGACAGTCTGCAAAATTGTTGGAAGAGAGAGGAGTGAAAGAACTGGGAGTGGTACTAATACAGAAGGCTAGGAGCCGAGGGTTGTGGAACAGCATGATCGCAAAAGTCAAACGATATGGCACTTAGAGAGAGAGAGAGAGAGAGAGAGTTGTTAAAGTAGTAGTAGTAGTACTAGTGTTAATAGTACTATTATCATCATTATTGTTGTGATTGATAATATTAAATATTAGCAGAAGGAGTAGTATATAGTAGAAGTAGTTGTCGTTGTCGTTTATTTCTTGTTTTATAAGTGGCTAATCTTCAATAGGATCCATTAAACAACTATATACCAATATATCATGATTTTGAATGATAATAGTAATATGTGGGGTTTAACAAAAGAAAAAAGCCACTGAGTTGATGGATTGATAAACATAATACATGCAATTTAAATCTTGCTGGGCCGGTGCTGCAAATATTTGCCAAGCAGAATAAGAATTTTCAAAAAAAACACATTGTTCTACCAAATAAAAGTATAGCAATAATCATTTGGCAGCCGTATGGCAGCCATGCTAAAGCCAGGGTAATAATTGGGAGCGCCAGGAGGGTCAAATCTGACTGACATGAGCACTATACAAGAACCCATTATTAGTATTATTATTTATATAAATCGTTTTTTCATAAATACGTAATATTTATTTTAAGCTAATAGAAAAACTTTAACAATAATTGTACATGTTGTAGTTCAAGAGAGCGACCGCCATTATATCAATGATCAGTTTTTTTGTGTATTTAATCGTGAAATTCTATACTGATAAACCATTTTTGTACAACTTGAAGTATCTAGGTCTATATATGCTTTTAAAATTTGACCTTGCCCGGGTACAAAGACACGGCTGACTTATGAAATTATCTTCTTTTCACTTCAAACAAGTAAGAGTGCTCAATCTCTATCAGATTCCAGTCAAGTGGACATTCGTGCTGGTATTCTTGTATTGATTTCTTTTTAATTTCTCCTGTGCCGGATTCTAACCTCCTCTGTCCTTGAATATACCTACCGTCATCTGTACATGGTGTTTACGTGACTAGAAGAAAATAAAGTATCGTTCCTGATTTCAATTCAATATTCAATATTCAATTCACTTGTCAGTTACAGTGATCTCGTGCAAGAGCCACTTCTCATTAGTTCTACAGTATGGGGTAAGCAAACTTGGCTTCGTTGTGTATCATTGTTTTCCAATACAAATGGTATTTGATTGTTTTCATTAGGCTATAATCTATGCATTTCGTGAAGAAACAAAATCCAAATAATAAATGTCAATAATAGTAACGCTTAAAGCGCATACAATTGAAAATTGTACAGTCACTATGCTCTGAACGATACAGAAATTCAATGCTTTGAATTTTCTACCGAGGAAAACTTTTTACCATATTCAGAAATATTTCGATACAGTGAGACTGTTAACTCATAGGCCCTAATTCACAAAGGAGGTTTGTCGACAAACCTCCTTTTGTTTCGACAAACCTCCTTTTGTTTTTTACAAACCAGGTTGTAAAAAACGCGTCAAAACGCGTCATATGATGTAATAAAACCGAAGTTTGTCGACAAACCTCCTTTGTAAATTCGGGCCATAGTGTTCGTAAAAGTTAGATTTTGCAAGTAAGGACATCTGCTACCTCAGAATTATCCCGAATACTTCAATTAAATGGTCACTTTTATCATTAAACTGGTAAAGAATATTCACAAAATGTTACTAACTTTCATAATTTAAATTATATTGAGAACACCCCAATCAGACTCTACATCTACGTCTTTTGCATTACAATAACCACGGTCAGAAAATGTTTCTTATCTATATTCTATAGTTCGCCGATAATGAACACTTTGATAGCCCTCCTAGCGACGATCATGTTTATGATATCAACGGTGATGGCGTGCTCTTCTTGCCCTCATGATTGCTTGATTGGTGAGTTGATAATATCCGCCCCCATTTTTTTCTTCCTTTGTTATCAAAAGGCTGACATCATCAGTATTGTAGGTACAGGTCTGGGTCACAATTCACTTCACCATAGAGGGCCCAAACTCTTCTCACAGAAGCGTCCCCTTGAAATGTATTAGGGAATTGCCAAAAAAACAACTTTAGCCTTCAAATTTGAAAAAATTGAGTTTTACTACAGTTGGTACGTTTGACAAGCTGAGAGCTTTAATTTGAATGGTAGGATAATTTAGATCAACACTCCCTCTCCCTTCCTTCATTCTTTCCTTCATTCTTTCCTTCCTTCGTCTCGCGATACAGCGATCTCCGCATATGTATATATAATTATTATTATTCTTTCGCATGGGGTAGAAGAATATAAAAAGGAAATGACGATGAAGTTGAAGAAAATATTTATAATAGACATTGTGACCCCCCCCCTCCCCCCCAAAAAGAAATAATAACAAATAAACACATATATATATATATATATATATATATATATATATATACATATATACAGTGCGTCCCAGAACAAAACGAAACCGAGAACTATCGATGTTTTATCATAACTTAATCACAATTATAATTAATAAATGACACATAATTTAGAAAGCTTAGATCCTCTTCTTTCATTTGATGCAACTCATGTGATTCATATCTCACGCATGAGTGATTAAAAGCAATTTGACGAGAGGAAACCAAAAAGTCATTTGGCGTGCGGTATTTGAATTTCAAGAAGAAAATCACATTTCTAGAAAGTTCAATGTATGCCCTTTTATATGACACCTCAAAAATGAGCCAGGAATAACAAAGTTCTGTTTGTTAAAAGTAATGCTTGCAATTCCATAATTTGGTCAAACGAGTTCGTTTTCACTGATTGCCTGCTGTAGCAACGAACAGAGTTGACAAAAAAACTTAACTCCGTTTCGTTGAAGATAAGCCATGCACAAAGAAAACGACAGTCAATTCTGACGTCCGAGAGTCAGGATGCAAAGCTTTTTTTTAATAGATGTAGATATTCATACAAGCGATTTCCAAGCCTTTGTCTTTAGCTTGTTGGGAAGAACTCTCGCAAAATTGACAGTTTTAATACTAGCGTTCAGCCTGGTCCCCAAATTTGAAAATAAGAATGTTTTTCTGTTACTTGCTTGTCGGAAAAAGAGCATTGTCCTGTTGTGATGCCTTGGTATTTTCCTCTTTGTTTTCTTCCAGCTTACTACCCGTTTGAGGGAGACGTTACTGACAGCTCCGGTAACAACCGCGACGGAACTACGACCGGCGATGTTTCTTACGCGGCTGGCCAATGCGGTCAGGCCGCGTCCTTTAACGGTGCCTCTAAAATGAGCGTCCAGTCGTTTGCCAACTTCGCCTGGGGCACGGAGTTCAGTGTCAGTGTATGGTTCAAGCGAACCGGTGAGTGGGGGAACTACCAGGGCATCATCAATAATGGGTATTACACTACAGGGAGCTGGGAGATCAGAATGGGTAGGGAGAACAGCGGTCAAATGTTAGGCGGTGGTGTCGTTACAACCGCTGCGTCTACTACCTGGGACTACATACATCTTGTCGCTTTGCGGAACACTTGGAACCACGTGACCATGACCTATGACGGGTCTACCTTGCTCTACTACCTCAATGGTCAGCAGCAGACAGCGAACAACCAGAACTGTTGCACTGGCCCTATTCTAACACGCAATACACCGGTCACTATTGGTCAAGCAGGTCCAGGGAAAAGTAACGAGTATTTCTATGGCTTGATTGACGAGGTTAAGATCTATGGCCGAGTGCTCACCGCGGTCGAGGTTCAAAATATGGCCAACCATCCATGTCTTTAAAAATCCGTAACTCGATTCTTCTCAAGTATATTGGTCAAGGGATTGTAGAAGATATTTTTTTTTTTTTTTAGAGAGCTTTGTACCAGGCCTTAAACCATTGTGTCTTCTTTATTATTGGCATTAATCATGTTAATGATATGGTATTTCATGAAATATATAATTTAAGTATGACAAATGTTATGCCTTCATTGTTAATTTTTCATAACCTAATGCTTTTGATTTGGTTTAAGACTGTTTAATTAATACGATTTTACTGCCTTATAATCTCGATAATTCAAAATACTGTATTAAAATGAGATGTTATTATTTTCGACTTAACGATTTTAAGGCGTTGGTTCTAAAGAAATGATACATGTTAGTATTAATTTGTCCATTTATAAAACTCAGATTAGGCCCAGATATGATTATAGGTTTATCGGGACGCTTTATCATCAATGATTATTCCGTAAGTTTATGGACCTATCGGTGGAAGTCGTGTTTATATAGACCCAAAATAAATATCACTTCGATAAGCCATGCTCATACTCTTTTATGTTTGGATTGTTTGTGGAAAAAAAACTTCTACAGGATAATTATAGTATCACTTTGGACCTCTTAATTGTTCTTATCTTGGAAAGTTCATGGTGTGATGTTATCCCTGAATAAACAGTACTTTGAACGAGTTTATAGATGTCAAAAATCATTTCGTGTCTGATTAACGTCTAACCGGCGAGCCTTGTCAAGAGACAGCTCTTGTGATTGCGATAGAACGGAGTCAAAGTTTATATTAACAAACTTGTTCTTTGAATATAAAAAACATAAGCAGATAAAGAAAAGAGAGAAGGAAGGGAAGAAGAGAGAGACAAGATGGAGAGAGGGAGAGAGAAAAAAAAGATAAGAGAGAAAGAGAGGGGTAAATGGGTTGCAGAAAACGAACACAGATACAAAGACAGATGGAGAGAGGGATAATAGGAGAGAAAGAGATAGATAGAGAAAGAGAGAGGGAGAGAGAGAGAGAGAGATAAACTAGAAACTGGAATTTCATTTTAAGGACCCCTTTCAGAGTATGAGAAAAATGCATGAAAATCATAATACATTGTGTTTTTTTTAAATATTATATCAATAAAGTTAAGATGGCAATTAAAGCATTTGTAAACAAACTAAGACAGTGTAACTTTTATAATAATACAAACATGCGTTATGTAAGGATTATACGAAGAGATCAACATACGTAGTTGAATAACTGCGATTTACCGATCTTTAACATAATAATTCTAACAAACCTTTTATAATTGACATCTTTGGGATATTCAGCAAAACATCAAATGGAAGTGAGTCCCCCTCCTCTTGGGAAAACCTTCATAATTTGTAGATTAGAGTTTTGAATATATTCACCCAAAAGAGGCATGCTTGAATAAGCATGCCTTATTGCTTGAATAAGCATGCCTTAAAGACAAATAACAGTATTTCAAAATTATCAAGATTGCTATTATTTTGTTATTGTTCTAAGAGATAGTCACATTGTTTGTATGTATTAGGCTAATTAATGATCTTCTAACACCCTGCTGATCTTGAATCTATATTTCACGGTTGACTGAGTTCAAATTACAGGAACAATAAGCAAGAGTCAATGGTTGCTTAAGCAGTGTCATTGCAAGGGATTATACGTTATCTGTTTCGCAATTCTAATATAGTAATGACACCATTTCAGTTCCGTTTGGACAGTGTGATAATGGACTTTAGGGTGTGTCAGGATACCACTAACCAGCACAATGCATACAAACAACGCGGTCCTTCATGACTGTTACTGTCTCTCAGTACACTAAAGAAACGACACCAATCTTGTGACGTTTGAAATGTAGTCATTTTATCTTCAAATTGTGCTTATTCAAGCTTGTCTTGACGGATAACTCTGATTTTCAAACAAAAGTTATATGAGAACCACAGGCAAAGTGCATTTTGGGTAAATTTGTTCATAACTTCGCGGTTCTAAAAAAGAAATAATAGGAGTTGCATGGGGGTGGGGCTCTAGTTTTACCATTTCCAATGCAGTTTCTGTACTGAGAAAAAACGTATATGTCTCTATCTTCCTCGCAGTAAGCACACTCAATTACGTAGTGAAATTCGTCACTGATACCGTCTGCAGTACAAAATAATACAGAACCTTTTATGTCGTCCTCTTACACAGGGTTATTGATGACTAACACAAACATTATTTTGATCAAGCTGTTTAAAGTAGGGTTCTAACACAGGAACATTTTTGACAATCGTAATTCAAGGGCCCTTTTTTGCCATGTAGTGTAAAAGGGAGATAATAGAGAGAGAGAGAGAGATAGAAGAGAGAAAGTTAAGAAGATAAGAATGATAAATTCCGACGGATTCCATTCTGGACATATTTGATAATGGTATTGCCATGCTACCACCGGGATTATCACATTCAGTTTTAAAAGTGAGCAGTCGGTCAGAATATAAACACAGTTTTGCAGGTAGGATATTTGAACTGTCCTTTTTACACAAAGAAGATTATGAACGCCTTTTTTTCATCTGTGAGCATATTTTAATATTTTCATTCCTTATTTCTTACGGAGGTATAGATATTTTGAACTAAAAAAATACTGTTCCGATTTATCCTATTCTATATCTCGATATATCTAGATCAAATGACAGAGTCCATGGAAATTGAAAGATAAGTATTGAAGTGTTTTGTGTAAATATTAAGCTACAGCAAAAAAATTGGAATTACAATTGTACTTTGTACAGTAAATATAACCATAAAGATTACTTACACGCATCAAAACTCAATGATTAACAAGAGAAATAGAGGACAAGACTTTCCAGCCATAATAATAATAATAATAATAATAAAACTGCTCTAAATATACACTACTTTAAAAACAAATGTCTGGTTTTGTCGCATATTACCTCAAGTGAGTCAAGTTTATGCTTACGTATTTTGTAAAGCTTAATTGATATGCTTCAACCATGAAAAACAATCAATATAAAGATGATTGAATAGGATAGTTTTAGTGCTTGGATTGAATTGACTACATTTACATATTCCTGTCAGATGGTGCTGCTGATCAGTTGTAATACACTAATAAATTAGAACAAATTGAAAGAAATTAAAAAGAAAATTAGAGGAAAAATTTAAAACAAATAAACAAAGTATAATAAAATTGAATAAGATACAAAAACAATGTAATAAAACATACCTCTTCTGATGACAAAGTAACCCTTATGGTAAACTTTACAATTTTCAAACTGAATCCGTATAAATTAAAGACTGAATTTGTTATGTAATAAGATACGAAAAAAATGTCATTATTAAATAGTAATCATAACATGGTGGCCTCGCTTTACCCCTAAATTTCCCTGTCCCACCTTGTCTCACCTTGCCCCACCACAGCTTATGATCATTAAACTGCTGCATAACATATGATTTTCAAACCACTGCGAATTCTGTACAAGGATTACATAACAAAACTCACGAAAGCACAAACTCTAATAAATTGCTATACACCTGCTGGAAGCATATGAGTACGGGCACAATTTTTCTGCGGGGGTGGGGGGGGGGGGGGGGACGTGTAGGCTGAAGTCCCTTGCCCAATTCAAATTACCATTTTATACATTTTGCAAGAGAGTGATGCGAGGACAGAAACAATATAGAGGCAATGTATCGAAATATTACCTATACAACTATAAACACAATGTAGACCACCTTACTGCCCGAAAACCAGGTGTCGCGTACCGGAATATTGGTAGTTTCCATTTTCATTTCTAATTCAGCAACTGACGAATTGAGTTCATCTGGGATCATAGAATTTGAGATGCGAAAAATTATAAACATCCTAATCCCACCTTTATGCTTATCTTTCTTTCTTGACTGGCAATATCATTGTTTTGATGGTCCACTAAACCGACACCCCATGAGACCATCAGAGCACTTTACCAAAATTTCGGCCATCTGGGCTTTCTAGGCAATTTTAATAATTTTCGTTAGTTTGATGGTCCGCGATAGCGACATCTTTCTATCTTCCCATGTGTATTTTTCCGTTTTATCGGTCTTATGGGCTGGTGTTGGTCTAGTGCGCTGGTGGTCTCGTGAGTCGTGGGAATCGTGAAACTTTTGTAACTTCTTTTTGTGTTCTATATTTTCCTTTTTAAGTCTTTGATTAATCGATCTATTTTCCTGCTGGTATCCTGTGCTGTCGGTCTCAGGGCCATATGAAGGTATTCTTTTAAAATGTATTATTATTGCTCACTTAATTGTGAGTTATTAGTGAGAATTCGCTCCTACTAGCCTGGGGACCGCCTTAGCAGCTTGTACGGTAATTTTCCTTATAATCAAGTATTACACATTACTGTCCATGGTGTGTTAGGAAGGGAACATTTGAGTGAAATATTGTTTACTAGTCTACGAAAACGAAGAATGGCGTAATTACGTGGGCTACGTGACGAGGGCAAAACGAAATGTAAACATTTAAACAGATTCGTAAAATATTTGATATGATATATCCAAGATATTTTCATATCTTCAGCAATAAATATAATCAGATAACAGGAGCCATATTAATTAGATTGAAATATTAACTCTGATTGGTTATCATAATAACCTCTGACACAATCTATACAATTCAAATACAAATTATGGAAAATGATTAACCACTGAATAAACTCATCATAAGACAAAGGTCAAAGCAGGCCTTCGAAACCTCGTGATATCATCATTTCTAGGGACCGAAATTGACGCGATATACATCACGTGACAAATAAAGGCGTTATCAAAATGTTCCTAACCACCATTCTAAAAGTACGCGCCATTATTCTGCGACAACTCCTGGCAGTTGGGTTGGTGTGCTATTTACAACCAAGTTTTTGACATCTTTTCTGGACTAGGCTATTGACGTGTCTACTGCTAGATTAATACCAGATTGAGGGCACTTTTACACCTTAGTGTTCTATAAGAAGTAAGTACTATGAAAGTTTAATGCATGAGTATGCAGTATTGACCCTAGTGACGTGTAGTTAGAAAATTGAATATCATTAAAATATATATATATAGACTTTATCTAAAATGTAGTCGCTGTAGACGAAAGTGCTAGACTTGTTTCAATATGATTGGGGCGTAAAGTTGTAAACAGAGAATTAAACAAAATATAGACTGACTTCCGTCTCATCTAATTTGTTTAATTTGTATAGTTCTGATTGTATACGTAATGAATATATTTAATTGATTTTTTTCTCTGACTCTAACTATTTGTGTCTATCCCATTTCTTCTTCAGTGTAATTTACTTCTGCGTGCATGGTATTTAAAGTAATGTATGCTGATGAGTTTTATTGTTCTTTATACGGTTGTGGTATAGGTATTGATTGAATAAGTGTATATTTTTGCTTCTATTACCATTGCCTGTTGATTTATTTTATTCATATTTCATTTATTTTAACAGGGCCCATCCTAATAGGCTTTGCTTACGAAGAGGTCCTTTCACTGTATCTTTTGAATGTACTCATTATGTAAATTATTATGTTTGTAATAGAAAAAATTGAATTGATTTGAATACAATTAAAGGAAATATGAGAAGCATAAACTTATACCAAACAGAACTGACCAGGGCTCCAGGACAAGCAGAGCGTGATGCCTTGTGATCACTTTCTGATGAATATCTTTACATTTCAGTTGAA